TTAAAAATAAAACTACCCTATAACCCAGAAATCGCACTTCTAGGTATTTATCCAAAGGATACAAAAATAGTTACTGAAGAGGCATATGCACCCCGATGTTTATAGCATCAATGTCTACAATAGCTGACCTATGGAGAGCCCAGATGTCCACCAACAGATGAATGGATGAACAAGACGTATTTGTATAGACTTTTGTTGTCACTTGTCTTACATAAACACATAGAAGTGGGATTCCTGGCTTATATGTTAAGCATATGTTTACTTGTATAAGAAATTATCAAACTTTTCCAAAGTTGCTATTTGGAAACTGTCAAGCTTTTCCAATATGAGCATTGGTACTCCCATTGACAACACACAATGGAATATTACTCAGCCATCAAAAAGAATGAAATCATGTCAATCTCAATGACATGGATGGAACTACAGGGTATTCTGCTAAGTGAAATAAGTCAGTCAGAGAAAGACAAATACCATATGATTTCACTCATATGTGGAATTTAAGAAACTGAACAGAGGAACATAGGGAAAGGGAAGGAAAATCAAGTAAGATAAAAGCAGAGAGGAAGGCAAACCATAAGAGATTCTTAACTATAAGAAACTAATGGAGGGTTGCTGGAGGAGAGGTGGGTGGGGAAGGGGGTAGTTGGGTGACAGGCATTAAGGAAGGCACTTGGTATAATGAGCACTGTGTGTTACATGCAACTGATGAATCACTAAATTCTACCCTTGAAACTAAATATCTTCTATATTAAATTGAATTTAAGTAAAAAATAAAAAGAAAAATACATACAAAGATCAATAGAACAGAACTGAAAGTCCAGAAATAAACTCATGATTATACGGTCAATTAATCTTTGGCAAAGGAGGCAAGAATATGCAATGAGAAAATGACAGTTGCTACAACAAATGGTTGGGAAACTGGACAGCTACATGCAAAAGAACGAAACTGGACCACTTTCTTAATCCATACATAAAAGTAAACTCAAAATGGGTTAAGGACTGAATGGGAGACTTGAAACCATAAAATTCTAGAAGAGAGCACAGGCAGTGATTTCTGTGACATCAGCTGCAACAATATTTTTCTAAATGTGTCTCCTAAGACAAAGGAAACAAAACCAAAAATAAACTATTGAGACTACATCAAAATAAAAAGCTTCTGGGGTGCCTGGGGGGCTCAGTGGGTTAAAGCCTCTGCCTTAGGCTCAGGTCATGATCCCAGGGTCCTGGGATCGAGCCCCGCATTGGGCTCTCTGCTCAGCAGGGAGCCTGCTTCCTCCTCTCTCTCTCTCTCTTTCTCTCTCTGCCTGCCTCTCCGCCTACTTGTGATCTCTGTCAAATAAATAAATAAAATCTTTTAAATAATTTATTTATTTAATAAATAAAAATAAAATAAATAAATAAAATAAATAAAAATAAAATAAATAAATATAAATAAATAAAATAAAAATAAATAAATAAATAAAAATAAAAAGCTTCTGCACAACAAAGGAAATCATCAATAAAACTAAAAGACAACCTATGAAATGGGAGAAGATATTTGCAAATAATGTATCTGGTAAAGAGTTAGTATCCAAAATAAAGAACTCATACAACTCAACAAGGAAACAAGGAAAACAAGCAATCCAATTAAAAAAATGGACAGAGGACCTGATTAGGCATTTCTCCAAAGAATACATACAGATGGGCAAGAAACACATGAAAAGATGCTCAACATCATTATCACCAGGTAAATGCAAAAACAAAACCACAATGGGATATCGCCTAACATCTGTAAGAAGGGCTAAAATAAAAAACATAAGAAACAAGTGTTGGTGAAATGTGGAGAAAAAGGAGCCCTCATGTACTATTGGTGGGAATGAAAACTGGTGCAGCCAATGGGGAAAAGAGCATGGAGGCTCCTCAAAAATTAAAAATAGAATGACCTTATGATCAAGCAATCACATTACTGGGTATCTACCCAAAGGAAAAAAAAAGACACTAACTGAAAAGATATACACACCCCTATGTTTATTTCTGCATTATTTACAATAATCAAGATATCAAAACAACCCAAGTATTCATCCACAGATGAATGGATAAAGAAGATGTGGTATATACATACAATGGAATATTACACTGCTATAAAAAAGATGAAATTGTGTCATTTGAGACAACATGGATGGACCTAGATGGTATAATGCTAAGCGAAATAACTCAGAGAAAGACAAATACCATATGATTCCACTCATAAGTGAAATCTAATAAATAAAACAAATACACAAACAAAAAAGCAGAATAAGACCTATAAATATGGAGAAGAAACTGATGGTTGCCAGAAAGGAGGAGGGAAAAATTGGAGAAAATGGGTCGACAGAGAGGGAGATACAGGCTTCCAGTTATGGAATGACTAAATCATGGGAATAAAAGTCACAACCTATGGAATACATAATTGATGATATTGTAGTAACAATGTACCAGGATAGATGGCAACTACACTTATGGTTAACATAGGACAATGTATAAACTTGCCACATCACTAAGTTGTACAACTGAAACTAATGCAACACCTTGTGTCAGCTATACTTAAAGAAAACCATCTTTTAACAGAATCATAATTGAACTAAAAAAAACAACAACAAACAAACAAACTCTCACACAAGATATAACAAGGTGGAAATACCCAGTGAAACACACGATACCCAGTGAAACACATTCAATAAACCTTCTTTTAATCTCCCCGAGCCTCCAGTCACTTATCCCTCCTTTCTCTTTCACCCGGTTCGTGAAACTCTTCTGACTCCATTTGCTTTCTTCTCCCGCCTACACCCTCAATCCACACCCCCCACATCCATGCCTATCTTTTCCCACTATCTGTGGTAATCTTCAAACATGAACCTAAGAACCGTTGGAGTAGTTTAAGATTTGAGCACAATTCTGGGGCCCCAGCCCTCTTGATTCAGTAGGTCTAAAGTGGAGGCCCAAGAATCTAGATTTTAATAAGCACCCCTGAAGGTCTAGATACCGGTGATCCAAGGATAAAATAAACACTGGTCTGGAGGAAGAGATGCCCTTCTTCCTATCCAAGAAGGATACTGCTTCTTGTGCTTTCAAGCCCAGGCTTTCCCATCGCTCAGAGATTTTGCTGTCCTCACTGCCTACTGTTTCTTCATCTCTCCTTAAACCCTCACAGTCAAACATTTTTTTCAACACAGCCCATCTGATTCATGCCTTTCCCCTGCTTAAAATCCACCAGCTTTTCCTACCTCCTGTAGCCATGGTTCTCAACTCTGGACATCCGTGAAGTCAAATGTATTCTAAGCATTATCTGCAAACTACTGTTTTCCAAAATGTATTCTGATACAATGTGAAATATAACTCAGCGATGTATTTGCTTCCAAGTTTTAAAAAACAGTATTTTGAATAGAAAATGCTAACCCATTTATATAGCTGTTATTACTCTATGATAATCTGCTTTCAAGAAATCATGTGCCATAAAATGCTAAGAAGTCATAGAAAGACTACATGTTGCCTAAATATACAATGTTCCATCTGTGTACCGATGCATAGGCAAATTTATTAAGGAGGCCATCCATTCTGTGCTCAATGGTCTACACTGTGTATCTTACAGCTATTATAATAATTTTAATAACATATTCTCATATTACTCTAAATTTATTGTATAATGAACATCTACAGCACATGAACTCATTCCTCTGCATCTAGGTTTGAAAGGAATTCATCTATAAGAGCATTACAACTAAATTCAAGTGCACATTTCATTTCCTATGCTCTTTTTGTTGTTCTGTCAAAATATTAAAATATTCTATGGTCAAATATTTGGGAAACCAAACTTGGGTAAACACTGTACCCTGCATATAGGTGCACAACTCTGTTCTGACTGTAGGTAGCTGGTGTTGCACCTATCAGCAAATTAAAAACATTGCTGCATGGTAGCTTTTCGTCATTACAGATTTTCCCAGTCAGTAGGCAGTAAAGAGCCAGTTACTCTTCTGTGAGGAACTTTCCTTTTTTTTTGGCAATAAAAAGGAATCCTATTACTTAAAAAGCAGTGGAAATCACCATTCTACAAAATAAAGTACATATTCCTTAAAACGACGTACAACAAACACCTTCTATGGTGCAAACTTCCAAGCACACCCCTCTTACACAACCTTTACAAATTTTTCCTACTATTATAGCTAAATCCTAATATGCTCTCAATTTATCTTAACAATGACCCAAGAGTATTCTAAGTTTCTGGAATTAGGAGGGTACTTTAGAGATCAAGTTATTCAACTCCTTGATTTTACAGAAGACATCATCTTTTTGTGTACCATTTGTTCCTGATACTTTTAACTGTACTATTCTTTTAATAACTTAAGACTAAGAGAGACTGTAAAATTTCCTAATCATCTTCTAATGCTTTGAGAAGGTGAGTTTCGATGTGATTCTCCTTTTCCATTTCCTCCATCCTCTGCCTGTACCACTATATGGTAAACTCAAGCGTCTCACACATTTCAAATATAAATTAATCTTCCTAATTATTAACAGAAGACCAATAATTCACTTTCAGACATGACACAGATTTGCTCCTATAAGTTCATCTGTAAGAACCTCAGGAATTGAAGACAAGGTAACTGAAGTTTCTGGAGTTTAGCCCTTTAACCATATAAATGAATTCCTAATGATGGTGATGACAACAGCTGACAATTCTTTACTCTGCGCTTTGCATTGTTAAGCACTTTACATCATTATCTCCCTCAGATCTTCAGACGACCCTATAAGTAAGGCAGATTGTTATAATTATTATCTAAATTATTGTCTTATTTTAAGTTAATAAAACCAGGCTCTGACAAGTTAAATAATCTTCAAGGTCCCACAACTAAGCACTTCCTCGGTTATGAACACCTTCCAACTTAGGGCAGGTCTCCTTCTCTCCCGCTGCACTGACCCCTGGATCCTTGCCCAGCCCTCTAGGTGGTCAGGGAGGGGTCAGACGCCGACGGCCGGGCCCCACTCACATTCAGCAGCCGGTACCCAGCGCCCTCCTTGTTCTGGTCCTTGGGCATGTTTTGGTCAAGACCATTCATGGTCTTGTTTTGGTCCTGGGTGTAACGAATCGAAGAAAATCCCGACGTTCTGCTGTGCGTATTTTCCAGGTTGGCAGGAGGGCTCTGAAGTATAGGGGCTGTGTACAGGGAACGGACCCGCCCGCCACGGTTATCAGCTGTGTTGGAACCTCTACGCAACTCTTGGGGCGGCTCCATTCCTCCATCCTCTGCGGGACAGGTCTGCGCTTAACTGCCGGCCTGCTAGTGCGCAGGCGCAGTCCTCCAGCCGCCTAGCCAGGACTTTTCCGGCGCATGCGTGCACGCAACGTGCGACTCACGCCTTCTCCTGCCGGAGCTGACTGTAAGAGAGTGAACTTAGTGAACCTGGAGGGTCAGCTGTAAGCACTTGCCTAACTAAGCCATTTCAGTCTCCCTTAGAGGGGAGTCGTAGCATGCTGGTGAACAGCAAGCTTCTTCACCACTGTGATTGAACACCTTAGTTCATTTTCTTGTGGGCTCTTTAAACCATCATAAGCCTCTTTTTCCTAAACCAGTTCCTTCTGGGGGATTTACAATACCAATAATCACCTCCTTACACTGTCACCTGAGCTCCAGATACTATGTTTCCAACAGTCTCCTTGGATGGACATCTTTACTGTCCTGTACACTCATAACACACATTAATATTCATCTTCCCTCCCAGACCTCTAGTATGTTGCAAACTCATTTAATAAGGCAATATCATAGCCACAAAGGCTGAAAACTTCAGACATGCTTTTTAATTCTAACCTTAAATATTTGAACCCTACCCTTTCTTTTTATTGCACCTAGTTTTGGACACTTCACATACACAACTGTAATGATTTACTCCCGGATCTCCCAGCCTGCTGCCATCCACCCTTTCCTGCCCCAATATTAATACAGTTTACCTTTAAAAACAAAAAAGCAATAAAAATGGATCAAACCCAGAAACTTTCAGATCTTCTTCATTAGCCATAAATTTGAATTCCTTAATTTGGAAACCAAGGACATCCAAAAATGCACTCTATCTCAGCATACTATTACTATTCTATTTGGGATCTGTTTTCTTTTATTCAAGAGCCCGCTCAAACTTCAGCTTTCAGTTAAATCTTATAACCCCATATACATACCCTCAAAGCAGAATTGACTGTTGTCTCTAAGCTACGACTTGGCATATCATTATTAGTGGGCTCATGCTATGAGAATTAGTTAATTTTAAAAGACAGTTCTTTGGGGGTGATAGGGCCCCCAATAATGGGTCTGTGATCAAAGGAGCGAGACTGATACAAAGCGAAGGTCAAGCAAAGCTTTATTTCGCGCCAAGCATCGAGAATCAAACCAACCGGTTGGGGCCGTCTCTTACAAAGAGGCAACCCCTCCCAGCCTCACAGACTAACTTTTATAGAGCAAAGGCCATGTGGTTGAGCCTGGCCACACACAGGTGGCCAATGAGATCGCAACACAGAAAACTGCATAGTCATGCTAGGTCACACACTGGTGGCCAATTGAATTTCAACTTACCCCATAGTAGCTATTTGGACTAGCCTATCACCTTGGTCAGAATTGGCACCCAAAAGGCAAGGCCCACTCTCTTTGGTAGCTAGTGAGGCAGTATGCACCCCCAGATTGGATGTCTCCACCTGGCCTGACCCGCCCTTGTATCTGGGCTTTGCTACCTGGGACTGGGTTCCCGGACTTGCTTTTAAGTTCCTCTGGGAGGGGCAGGGTCAATCAAGGTTTACTGCATAAACAACAAAATGGCTCCCTCTGGCTAAGTAGGCCCTTACAGGAGTAAAACTTGATCCTCTCCTTGTACCCCTCAGGGTTCATGGCATAAGAGCCCAAGGCCCCCAGTACCTGTTTGCTGTTATCAAGTCTACGGTGTGTGGTGTTTAACTACTGTGCCAATGAGACTTGCTGCCCACCAGCTCACGATGACTTCCTAAGGGCTCATGTGACGCAACATAAAAAATATCTAACCTGAATCTAGTCAAACTCCTAGACTTAACCTCCAGTCTACAGGAAATTCAGGAGATAGAGAACAAATTGAGTGATGTTATTAGGGAAAAAAAAAAATCAACCAAATTCAAAATGTAGATGGGACATTTGAAAACAAAATGTTTTGGATTCTTTAAAAAAAAGAAACGTTAAGAGGAAGTATAGACAGTCATAGCCACTTAGAAACAGTTTGGCAATTTCTTGAAAAACTAAACCTGTAACTCCCATACAATCTAGCAGTTGCACTCTTGGGCAGTATCCCAGAGAAATAAAAACATACATTCACACAAAAACCTGCACACAAATGTTTATAGCAGTTTTATTCATTAACAGCCAAAAAATGGAATCAACTCAGATGTTCTCCAACAGGGAAATGTTTCAACAAACTGCAGGTTTGTAGGTACAAAGTGTGTACCTATCTTGGAGTACAACTGAGCAATGAAAAGAAATGGTCACTCAGCTTGGATGACTCTCCTGGGCAGAAAAAAGCTAATCCCAAAAGATTACATTCTTGAAATGACAAAATTTTGGAAATTTGTATAGATACACAAACCTACCTAACTGGTAAACTGTAGAGAAATTAACACACACACATACCAGTTGAAGTAATACTAGGGAAATTTGAATAAGATCAGTGTGTTTTATCAATGTCAATATTCCAGATATAATATACGACAGCTTTGTAAAATGTTATTCAGAGACACTGGCAAGGTGTGCAAAGGATTTCTCTGTATTATTTCTCAAGTTTGCATGAATCTACATTTATCTCAGGAAATTTTTCAGTTAAAAATATCACAGGGAGGAGAAAAAAAGGTGAGAAGGCCATTTAAAATTAAGAGATAAAACAACCAAATGAAATGCACAAACCTTGACCACATCTTGAGAGACAACTGGGGAAATTTGAGGATAGACTATTAATGATACTGTGCTATGTAAGCAAATGTTCTTATTTTTGGAGAATGCATGCTTACACATTCCACTGCAGTGACATGATGGTACCAACTTACTTTCAAAAGATTTACTAAGAAAAGGGCGCCTGGGTGTCTCAGTCATTGAGTGTGTGGCTCTTGATTTCAGCTAAGGTCATGATCTTGGGGTTGTGGGTTGAACCCCATGTTGGGCTCCATGCTGGGCAAAGGAGCCTGCTTGAGATTCTCTCCCTCCCTCTACTCCCTCCACCCTTGGTCTCTCTCACTCTTTAAATTTAAAAAAAAAAAAAAAAAAAAAAAAAATTTAGAAAAAAAAAAAGGGGGGGGGGTACACCAGGAAAAATAAATGAGCAAATGTGGCAAAATTTTAACAATTATTAAATCTAGGTTGCTTTACATTACAGTTGCTGTAACACTAGTCTTTCAACATTTTTACATTTGACAGTTTCCAAATGGAAAGCCCTCAGAGCTCTCACATGCATATGGCCTCCTCCTTGCCTCCATCTCCACCAGTAGAAATCCCATCCATCCCATAAAGGACATGCCCATACTCAATCTTACCCACAATACTTTTCTAGATTCTGTTTCTCCTATGCCTATCATGTCTTCTGACTAGAAGTCTCTGGAAGGCAGGTAGTATGTTTTATTCATTTTCTCATCTTTTTGTCCTCTCACAAACCTAGCAATTTGATTGAAATCAAATCATGTATCATAATTTAAGCTTTACATTTCATAGTTGATTATAAATGGTGATGTAGGCCAGAGGTCCCAAGTGCTGGTTAGTCTACTAGCTATTACCACAATCCTGGGACAGATTCTTTTTTTTTTTTTTTTAAGATTTTATTTATTTATTTGACAGACAGAGATCACAAGTAGGCAGAGAGGCAGGCAGAGAGAGAGAGAGGGAAGCAGGCTCCCTGCTGAGCAGAGAGCCCGATGCGGGACTTGATCCCAGGACCCTGAGATCATGACCTGAGCCAAAGGCAGCGGCTTAACCCACTGAGCCACCCAGGTGCCCTGGGACAGCTTCTAAAAAGTGGATTTCTGGGCATCACCTCAGACCTACTCAATATGAATTTCTGGGGACAGGCCAAGGAGTCCCTATGTGTTGTTCTGCTTAAGGGGAGTGGGGAGAGGTAGGTATTAATTTCTGAATACCCTGCACCCCCCAAAACACAAAAGCCTCACTGGGGATCTTGCTTGCTGACACCTCAGGAACTCCATTAAGCCACTCTACCGACATTTGATGCAGAAAGAAGGTGAGAAAAAAAAGATGACTTTGAGCCACTTATGGAGACACGTAATTGGCAGTGAACTTCCTTAAAAAGTTTCCCAGTCATCACGGCCAAAGCTGCTCTTGATCCACTCGTACAGGTCCACCAGAGTATGTACTTGCTGGGGTGATTGGGAGATTTGAAGTCCAGGTCATACTTCCCAGGCCTGAAGAATTTAAAGGCACTACGCCCATGCCAGGTACACTATCATCAACATAGCCCATGTTCCCCATCGCATTCCATAGGATCAAAACTTCCTTCAACCCTGTATTAACTTTCTATTGCTGCCCTAATAAATTCTGACAAATTTAGCAGGTTGAACAACACACACTGGCTATCTTAGCATTCTGTCCATCAGAAGTCTGACATGGGTCACAGTAAATAAAATCAAGGTGTCAGCAAGGCTGAATTTCTTTGTGGAGGTTCTAGGGGATCTGTTTCTTTGCTCATGTGGGATGTTCGCAAAATTCAGTTCCTTAAAGATATCGGACTGAGCCCACATCCATTTTCTTGCTGTCAGCCAAGAACTATTCTCAGCTTCTATAGATCCCCCGTGTCTCTTGACTTGTGGCCCCCTCCTCCTTCACCAAATGTTTTTACGACCTTGTTGACTATATTCCCTATGCTGTACTCTCTATCCCTGTGACTTACTTTGTAACTGGAAGTTTGTACCTCTTAATCCCCTTTATCTATTTCATCCATCCCCCCACCCATCTTCCCCTCAGGAAACCAGCAGTTTGTTCTCTGTATTTATGAGTCAGGTTTGTTGTTATTGTTTGGTCTTTGTTGTTTCTTAAATTCCACATGAGTAAAATCATAGAGTAATCATCTTTCTTTGACTCTTTTAATTTAGCATAATACCCTATAGGTCCATCCCTGTTGTTGCAAATGTTAAGATTTCATTCTTTTTTAAATGGCTGAGTGCTGTTCCATTGTATGTATTTGGCACATCTTCTTTATCCGTTCACCTATGGTTGGATACTTGGACTGTTTCCATATCTTGGCTATTGTAAGCAATGCTGCGATATACATAGGGGTGCATGTATCTTTTCAAATTAGTGCTTCTGTTTTCTTTGGGCAAATACCCAACAGTGGAATTACTGGATCATAGGGTAGCTCCATTTTTAATTTTTTGAGGAACTTCCACACTGTTTTCTAGGGGCTGCACTGGTTTGCATTCCCACCAACAGTACACAAGGGGTCCTTTTTCTCCACATCCTCTCCAACACTTGTTATCCATTCTGATAGGTGTAAGGTGATTTCTCATTATGGTTTTGATTTGCATGTCCCTGATGATTAGTGATGCTGCGCAGCTTTTCACCTGTCTGTTGGCCATGTGTATGCCTTCTTTGGCAAAATATCTACTCAGGTCCTCTACCCATTTTTAAATTGGATTAATTATTTATCAGTGTTGAGTTGTATAAGTTCTTTATATATTTTGGATATTAACCCCTTATCAAATATATCAAATACTTGCAAATATCTTTTTCCATTCAGTAAGTTGCCCTTCCTTCTGTTGACAGTTTCCTTTGCTGTGCAAAGGCTTTTTATTTTGGTGTAGTCCCAATATGAAACTTCTCAGAAAAGGTACATTTTCTTTTTATTAGTCATGAAGTAAAGCATCTTTCAAGCTGAATTACATTATACTTATTACATGATACATAACCACAACCACCAAGCCAATCTGAAAAAAGATAAATTTCGTATTTTAATTTATTCAGTAAGGAGACATTAAAAATAAAGGTCTCTTGCCCTCTTCTATCCTAGTCCCTAAATTTTATTTTTAAACCTGATGTATATTTTGTAACACTAAAGTAATGGCTGTTTCTGTAGTAGAGCTTTTTAAGATAATGATTATAAATGCAACTAATTTGAGAAACAGGAAATAAACACCTCACCTGCTGGTTTCTAGCTCATTACCTCCTTTCTCATTAAGACGATAATGCTAGAGAGATTAATGTTTGGTTATGAGTTGCAGACTCAAGTTTTAACATTTTCCATAATCTTGAGAAAATTTTCAGTACTATATAATCAAAAGATCAATTCCAAATATACCTGTACATATCTTACAAAAATACACTTAAAAACAAGAATAAGAAAAATTCTAAATACTGGGCCATTACTACACTGCAGGTGAGCTGGTGTTACGAAGAGGCTTTGAGTCCTTTATCATTTTCAGGATATTCTTCCACATCAGAAGAGAACATCAACTCTGGGAGAGAAAATGAACAGATCATACTCAGAATGGTTTCCCAGTAACTCAAAAAGAATTTTACAGCTTAGTTTTAAATAGTCTCTCAAAATATTGACATATTTAATATATATAATAGAAAGCCCTCAAGTACAAAAAAGAATTCATGATAATGAAATCTGATTTAAAAGGTAGTGAATGAGAAATGTACAAGTTTGAATTTAAAAATGCTCAAGTTTTAAATGTAAACCAATGGGCACCTGGGTAGCTCAGTTGGTTAAGCAACTGCCTTCAGCTCAGGTCATGATCCTGGAGTCCCAGGATCGAGTCCCACATCAGGCCCTCTGCTCATCAGGGAGCTGGCTTCTCCCTCTGCCCCTCGCCCCTTTCATGCTCTCTCTCTCTCTCTCAAATAAATAAAATCTTTTAAAAAATAAATAAATAAATAAATAAATAAATAAATGTAAACCACTGAAAAGTAAAACATATATAATGGAGACAAGATAATAACTCTTACCAGAAAATTTAAGTCACTTAGACAAGCCAGGTCACTAAACAGCAGAAAGGTCTAACTCTGTAGTGCCCACGGCAATCTACAATGGAGGGACGGACGCAGAGCAAGCATGTGGAACTAACAGAGGCATGTGCCAGGATGTCTTAAATGTGTTATCCCACTTAATCACCACAACAACCCAATAAGCAAAGTGTTATCATCCTCAATTTATATTTACTCATTTTATCTCCATGGAAATAAAATGTTATATGACTCACATGGCCCTAAAAGACAGCAGGATTCTGGAAATACTTAGTAACACGCGCTTCGTGATTTAGGCTCAGTACCACACAAGCCCAGCTGGATCCAGCTTCAATCCCGAACACAGCACAGAATGGTTTATTAGCTGACATTTCTACATTTAAACTATTACTTAGCATACATGTGTAATTTACCAAAATACTAAGAAATATAGAAAAAGAAGACCTAAGGAATTTAATAAAAGAAATTCCTTTGACGTAAATATTAGATGAAAAATTCTATGAATGACTAAAAACAATGCTACTAAGTGAAAACAAAAAACAGCAAAATATGTAAAGCCCAAGAGACTTTAAAAAAAAAATACTTTAAATAAATCAATGGTAATAAAGCAACAGAATATTCACTGGAGGAACATGAGAATTCTGATGCAAAAAGGAACATTTCATGAATAAAAATGCACCAGATTACATCTTTTGTCTTCATTTTTACAAATGGAAATATTAGGATGATTCTCAATTCTAAGACTTCTGAGGTTGTAATTAGTTGATCAAACTGCAGTGAAAGGCTCAAGATATTTAACCAATCAAGAATAAAATCATAACCAAAGTCCATAAAATACCAGAGACTCAGGGTGAAACCATGGAACATCTGCCAAGAAAACGAACGGACACCCCGAACACGAACGGACACCCTGAACACAAAGAGTTCTAAAGCAGCGCACTCAAGGACTGTCGGTTCACTCGGATGACTCCTCTCCTCCTGGCGTTCCAAAAGGAGGCCAGGGACTAGGGATTAGTAAATCCACCCTTCGACTGGGCACACTAAAGCTGGGATTACTAAATACTTCATTAGACAATGAAGGGTGAAGAATTTGTGCCAAGTAGACGAGGAGGTAAGAATGAATACGGGTCTGACAAAGGCCACATAGTTGAAGCATGATTTACTGCAAATTAAGAGATACTTTGATCAGAAGGAAACAAGAAGAAGCGAAGAGCAAAGACTCTACAAAATACCCGAAGGGTTCCGAGAAAAGAAATACCTCTGAAATATAAATATGCACATGGCTGATAGACTTTCTGTAAGTACTTTGAGGCTCCGGCCCTCCTAGACATTCTCTGTTTCTCTTGGCATTGTTTCACTACTTTAGTGTCACTTCTCTTAGTTATTTTATTTTAAATACATCTTTGTTATCAGACTATCATAATCTATATCCATTAAAAGAACATTTATAAAATCAACAGATTTCATGATATTCTCATATTATTTATTTTTATTTATTTATTTTTAAAAAGATTTAGTTGCGAGAGACAGGGTGCAAGCGTGCCCACGAGAGTCGGGGGAGTACAGAGGGAGAGAAACTGACTCCCCACTGAGCACGGTCCCATCCAATAACCCCAAGATCCTGACCTGACCACTGAGATCACAACCCAAGCTGAAATCAAGAGTCAGACACGTTCAATCAACTGAGCCACCCAGGCGCCCCACTATTTTTTCGTTAATACCTTCGCTAAGATCCATGCCTGGTCTATAAGACAAAAAAAGCCAAGAGAGTCCAACCAGAAGGGCCACCACCAGATTCACCACAATCCACGGCTGGAGAACCTGTTCCTCAACACCTGCTGCCCTAAAGGTATAGAAAACATTCATTAGAAATATCTGCATTTGGGTTCATATATTTAAATATAACTATTTAATGAACTTTTAAAAAGTAGCAGCCCTCACCTAGAGAAATAACAAGCATGAAATAAATATATCCTATATAAATTTCCCTATAAAATAACTATACACAAACACACACACACACACACACATACACACAACCATGGGAACAAAGGTTCAAAAGTTACTGAACTCTAAACAAATCTGCTTTATACATTGACAAAAGTGAAAATTTAGTATTGCCAAACAATTTTTCTAAGTTTCCCTTCCAACTACTGTGATGCTACTCATGCCCCTAGCCACTCCGTCAAAAAACACTGGCCCTCTGAGTTTTGTGAACTGGACTCGCAACTCGCCTGTGAGCTTCATGACTGGCCACTGATCTGCGGGGGACGGCTCTCCCTAGACTGCTCTCTTTCTAGCATTGCTTGGTTTTCAGACTCCATTCCAGCCACCTACTCCCACTACTAGGGGATATTAGACCCCCTGACTGGGAGTGGGGGTAGAGGGCTTCTCCAGTTCATTATGTATGACTAATCTTATAACCATAACTTAATAAACCTCAAATAGATTTTTATAAAAAGAATACATTTCATTAAAAATGCAGGTATAAGTAAAAATAGTTATCCACTAACCAATGTAATGGGTATTTTCTTGCCATAACTTTGGAAACAAAAACAGGGCCTCCGATATTATTTATAAATGAGAAATGTAAAAGAGTGAAGGATAAGAATAGTACCATTACTCCCCTTGTTGCTGTTATTATTACCATCAACAATTGCTAATGCTATTGTGAATCTTACCAGAGGCTACCATTAACAGAAGAAGGTGTGTAAAGATGGATTCTGTCACTTGTCATTTGCTGACTCAGAGATAATATAAGAGCAGTAAAGTACACTGAGAAAAAGACAAATGAAATTACTAATAATGTATTTTTAACAACCTAGTTTATTTTGAATTTATAGATCACTGTAAGGTCAAAAATAATCTATACTTTGGGGGATGATGACAAAAGAAATTCATGATCAATTTCAATAAGTTAGCTAGCCTTCTCTTATCCTTAAAGAATATGGGTACAGAAGGGTATTTTGAGATGCTCACTATTTCATCATTAGACATTACAAGAACCTAGAAGATATTTTAAGAAATTAAATGACTTACTCAAGGTCTTAAAACTAATTTTATTCCTGTTCTCATAACTTAGAACAAAATGTATCCCAAATTATTAAAAAGATACAAAATAGAATTTGTTACTGAAATGCCATGTCAGTTAAATCTGTTTGATATCAAGCAGAAAATACAAAACCAAAATATTAAGAAATATAGAACAAATTCAAATTTTTTTTAACAAATTCAACTTTTAACAGTTATCTAGATTAACCTCTATAGAAAAATGATTCTATCAAAATTATGCCTATCATGTTTTTTTTAACTGGAAATTCCACTGAACATCTGTAAGTAATGTTTATAAGTAGTAATATAAAATCATTCTAAAAGTAAAATTAAACTTTTCCTGGTTCAAAATTACAGTGTAATTCAAGTATTACACAATTATCAAATGAAAGTATTTACTCACAGAAAGATGCTAAAGCTGTTGGATCCAGGGCAAGGAAATTTCGGATCGCTACTGATGTTTTAGCAAAGTTGATCCTAGAAAATACAAATGCCTCTTGTCACATTGCACTGGTAAACTTCTCACAAAACTGTACTCCTTGGATTATAGTTTTTTTCTTCTCTATTTTTTTTTTAAAGATTTTATTTATGGATTTGACAGAGAGAGAGATCACAAGCAGGCAGAGAGGCAGGCAGAGAGGGTGGGGGAAGCAGGCTCCCTGCGGAGCAGAGAGCCTGATGTGGAGCTCGATCCCAGCACCCTGAGATCATGACCTGAGCCGAAGGCAGAGGCCACATACGCTGTCTATTATTAAGCTTTAAGTAACTACAGTTTATACTAAATACACATGAAAGAACATGTTATTTACAAAAGCCACATAAAACATTTAACTAGATTAAGCCAACATTGTTTTGGAGTAAGACACTCTAAAGAAACAAATTAAACTTGATCTGCAAAATTTCTTCAGATTCTACCTCTATTACCGGTATCATCAGGCTACAAGTTGCTATTTTTCTTAATGGGTTGAATTGTGTTCGCAAAGACATGATGAACTTCTAACCCCTTATTTGGAAATAGGGTCTCTGCAAATGTACTGAGTTAAGATGAGGTCATTTGAAGGCCCTAATTCAATACAACTGGTATCCTTAGAAGAAGAGACACACAGGAAGACCACTGTATGACAACAAAGACAGAGGCTGGAGTGATGCACCCACAAGCCAAGGAAATCCAAGGATTGCCAGCAACCCGGAGTTCAGGAAAGGCCTGGAAGAGACTCTCCCACCAGCCCTCCAGAAAGGAACCAACCTGGCCAACACCTTAATTTCAGACTTCTAGCCTCCAGACTGAGAATAAATTCCTGTTGCTTTCAGCCACCCAGTTTGGAGTACAGTTGGCCCTTAAACCACACAGGTTTGAACTGCATAGGTCTACTTGTATGCAGATTTTTTTCAATAAATATAGTGCAGTACTGTAAAGGTATTTTTCTTTCTCTTCCTTATGATTTTCTTAATAATTTTTGTTTTTTTTCAGGCTTACTTTTTAATTTTTTTTAAAGATTTATTTATTTGAGAGAGAGCAAGAGTGCAGGCACTGTGTGCACACCAGTGCGACAAGAGGCAGAGGGGGAAAGAGAATCCTTGAGCCCAACGTGGAGCTCGATCCCCGAATCCTGAGATCATAACCTGAGCTGAAATCAAGAGCCAGCCGCTTAAACTGAGCCACCCAGGCACCCCCTAGCTTACCTTTTTAGAAGAATAGAGTACATAACACATATAGTACACAAAATACGTGGTAATTGACTATTTATGCTATTAGTAAGGCTACTGGTCAACAGTAGGCTATTAATTTCTGAGGGAGTCAAAAGTTATATATGAATTTTTGACTTGCAGGAGGTCAGCGCACCTAACCCGTGCGATGTTCAAGGGCCAACTGTACTTCATTACAGAAGCCCTAGAAAACTCATTCAAGGGGCACCTGGGTGGCTTAGTAGGTTGGGCCTCTGCCTTCGGCTCAGGTCATGATCCCACGGTCCTGGGATCGAGCCCCGCATTGGGCTCTCTGCTCGGCGAGGAGCCTGCTTCCTCCTCCCTCTCTCTGCCTGCCTCTCTGCCTGCTTGTGATCTGGCAAGTAAATAAATAAAATCTTTAAAACAACAACAACAACAACAACAACTCATTCAATACCGACAGTCTCACCTATACCTGATTCAGATGATTTAGAAGATGCTATTTGGGGCTATTTTCATTGATTAAATTTGGATGAGATTTTAGACTTAGAGTTGATGCTGGAATGGGTTTGGATTTTAAGGATGCTTTCTGAGTATTCCCACCCCCTCCGCCCCCAACAATCAGAAACAGACTGGTTTTAAAATAAAGTCAAAATAATATTAACATATTATAATTCTATTCTGAAGACTGTCATAGTCAGGGACATATTTTGTTCAACATTTCCACCTGAAGAAAAGTTAGAGGGATGTATAGTCACAACAGTCTTACCTGTCAAAAGTTGAAACTGTACTTAGAGCTAAAAGCAAGTAGAGAAGACTCTGGAATGGATATGCTAAGGACTTGTACTGTTGCAGAAGATTGGAGAGGTCAGAAAGCTGATCTCCTGCTAGGACATATATGAAAACAATGTTCCACACAGCACAGCCAGCCAAGAAGCCGTGAGAGAAGAGACCAATCATCCTGAGTGGAAAAGGGTTTAATTATTACACATGTATTACTAAAGTAAAAAGCTAAAATATTTTTTAAATCTCTTCAAATATAAGAATAAAACTCAACATTTCAAAAAAATAAAAACAAGCCTTTTCTTAGTATACACTGACAGGCAGAAGATTTAACTACAATTAAATGTGTTTAAAAATACACCTATTGACTATTTTAAGTTGTCAGGTTTTTTTTTAACAATATTGGGCAATCAACATCTTAAAAGAAAAATGAGAGAACATTTGTTTTAAGTCCAACAAAAGCAGACACCTGAAGGCCCGGTGGACAGAGAGTGCGACATCTCTGGTCGTCCAGGAAAGCTTCATGTCCATCGACACCTCTATATTTTCTGTGGTCTTTATCAATTCTGAACGATCAGCAGCCTGGAATCGCCCTAAGTACACATTACACAATTATTAACAACTAGCAAGAGACAACCCTGGCCCTGTTTTTATCTTATTTTACACCGTTAGAACCCTGGGACTGAGATTTTGCTGTTTTCTATCTAAAAATTCTCCCTGATCCCGTACCAATTTGAGAAGGCTCTTTTCCTATACTATCTTTTTATCTTTAGGGAAAATAAAGTCCACATACTTTCCTCTCATCCCAAAACAGATGTTAAAGTAACAGTTTTAGAAATCAATTATATTTAATGAAATACAGTAAGGAACTTCCCACTCAGAACAAAGTCTGGAAATCTTAAACATGACATAATCTACAGAAGTCTAATTTTGAGACTTTGGAAGTTTATTAAAGTTTAAATGTCAACATGACAAAGATAAGTCGATGTCTGAAAACCTTCAAATTTCTTAGGAAAAGATGCCAGTGTGTGCGGCATGGCATTCTGTGATGACAGAGAAGAAAAAGGTTGTTTCACAAACTTGAGAAGACTGTTGTGACAAGTATCAGTCCAAGTGCCAGCATAGCCACCCCATGTGCACAGAGCTTCCCCCTTGTACTGGTCACGAGGCTCCTTCTTGCAGATCTACCAATGGACCTCAGGAAGCAGGGAAGGTTCCATTTCAATTACCTTTGCCAAATCTGGCTGCCAACTATTTGGGAGGATGAAAGAGGTGTAACACCTAATTTTCCCTAAGAAAAGACAACTTCTGGGCAGACAACAGGTGTCTTTTATGTGGTCAGTTACTCCAGTAGAGAAGTTGCTGAGATGAGACAAACAAGAGTAAAAATGAGGACTGAATGACGCTGCTTAGTAAACAGACTATAAAAAAATAGATATTGCTTAAAAATGAGGACTGAGTGATATGGCTTAAAACAGAAGTAAATTAAATAGCAACACAATATACTAGTCAAGCATGTGACCAGAAGCCATGAAACCTCCACTCAAGTCCCAGTTCCTCACTAACCAACTATGAGACGTTTCTCATTGGCCAAGAACTTGAAGAGCCCTTAGATGACATCTTACAGAACAGAAATTCTAAAATGGCATAGATGAAATCAAAATTGTAAATTTTTAGAACTAATGTTTATGGCTCATTGAGTTCTTTAGGCAGCATACTCATAGTATATCCATGGGATACACATATGGTCGTAATCATGTTTATGTATGTTTTTCTTAAACACTGGAAATGCAATCTTATAATCCATGCACACTATACAATGTCAGAACTACCTTCCAAAAGAATCTGGAGCTATAAGGTTGTAATTCTTATTTAATATTGTAATACCATCATGTATCTTCTCTCATTTATTTTTAGTTATAAAATTTGTACCATTACCTGCCCCCCCCACCACCACCACTAAATCACCCACAATCCCATAACCCAGAAATAACCAGCATTAATATTTTGGCACATTTCCTTCTAGTCTTTTGTCCTATACATTTTTCTGTAGTTGAGATCAAACTACTTATGTGTGTGTTTTTCATTAAATCTTCCTATGAAATGAAAAATTCTCCCTAAACATTATTTTTAATGGTGCAGATTTTATTTTATAAATATACCATACCTGACTGAAATCATACGCCTTCTATTTTATATTTATTTGTTTCCAGTTTTCACTCTCAAGAATATGATGATCAACTTTGTGTATAAATTTTTGTCCATATCTTTATTTTATCACTAATTCAGATCTCCAGAAATATAATTCCTAAATCAAAGGATACCCTTGTGTAAATCCCAGAAAGCTCATGCTCCAAAACTGGAATGACTTACGGCTTTTTTCCACGAACACTTTGTCTACAGGCTGGCTAACCCCAGTGGGTGCAGTGAATACGGACTGTTGTTCTGGGCCACTTCGCTCATCAGTAATTATGTCTTCATCTTCAACGCCTAGTTCATTGGCATACTGTAATTCTGCTGGTTGGGTTTTCCTGTCATCAGGAAAAACGGATTATTGTTGAATTTTTACAGACCCCTATACCTGTAAAAGAGCCCTGGACTTGGGAGTCGAGAAATTTGGTTTTTACTTAAATGGATCTGTTCTTAACTGTTATGTGCAGCAAGTCACATACATTCATGTGGGCCTCAGTTTTCTCATCTGGAAAATGAAGTGACTGAATTAGATTTATAAGGTTCTTTCTAAACTTAAAATGGTAGGATTCTATATAAATATTGATCACAATATACAGGGTTATTTCTAAATACAAACCATAGTGTTATATAACACTATGGTTTGTAAAAAGTACACTGGGAGTTATATAGTGTTATATAACACTATGTTATATAACACTATATAACTCCCAGTGTATTTTTTTAAACTATGCCATTCTATTTTACCCACAACTTAATTTTCTATACTAAAATACAATTTTATTTATTGTTGAAATAATCATAACCTGAATTCTATTAATATCAGAAAATATATCACAACAGCCTACTTTATTAATATTACCTTCAAATTTCAGTATCTTTTGTATTTAATTTTTGCTACTTATGTGATATTTTCTCTTGATGTTCCTCTTTTTTAGAGAGAGCTCCTAGGGTCCTTAATTAAATACAGTATCTTACTTCGGTTGCTTACTCTCCTCAAATTTATCATTAGTTGGTTTAACTGATATTTTTGTAATCCCACTTACCTTAGAGTATTTAATAAGACTTAATCAAAAGGTACCTCTGAATTAAGTAGCACAGTATCCCTGGAGAATATTTAAAAGAACAAATAAATTCTTACTTTGTCTTCCTTCGAGGTTTTTGAATAACTGTCTCTTCAGCCGGCTCCACATCAATACCATTTTCATTTCGTAATAAAGATGAAGTCTTCTTTTGGGTTAAGGAAGTCTCCAATTCTGAAAATAAAGTAAATTAAATTTTCAAATGACTATCATGTAAAAAGAAAGTAATATATAAAACTTTTATGACAAGGTAACTTTAAAAATTTTAATTAGGCCCAAATTTTTTCACCACTTTACTAATTTTTATAATTTTATACCTCTAAACACCAAAAAAATTGAAATTGTAATGCCAAAAAATATAGAAAAAATTAAATAATCCAACACCCAGAGCACTGGGAGAGACCCCAGATCACCTGCAGTTCACACAAAGGACTCATGGGACTCAGAAGTCATTACACTCACGAGTCATTACAGTCAGTTACAATTATTAGAGGAAAATGACATAAAACAAAATCAGCAAAAGGAAAAGGCATATGGAGCCAAGTCCAGAGGAAACCAGGTATAAGCTTCCAAGAGTCCATTAATGGAGTCACACAGGATGCGCTAATTCCTCCAGCAACAAGCTGACACGTGTGACACTTTCTCTACCAGGGAAGTTCATTACAAACTCGGCACCCAAGGCTTTTATTGGCACCTAAACACAGAGGCACGCCCTGCCTCACACATACCAAAATTCCAGACTCCCAGAAGCAAAGCAAGTGTTCAGCATAAATCATATTGGGTACACAAGTGCACAGTAAACCGCTCTTATAATTTAGGGAAGTTTTATATCAGTGTAGGAACTATTTACCAGCCAAGTTCCAGAAGCCAGTAAAGAGACAGCCTTGCATGCAGGCCTTTCTAATGAGAGCAGCTTCAGGCCTGCTATGTTAACTCATTCCTGAGCACAGGGTATCAAGTTTAAGTAAGTCAATGGAGACTCCTCAGATGCTAGCTAATTCCTCCAACCTGAAAATACTGGCAATGGCTTCCTGGAATGTCCTCAAAGCCCCCAGAATTCTATTTTAATAAAACACTTACAGCTAAAATTGGAAATACAATAGACGTTGAGCCTACCATAGTCATCCCAGAACAAAACAAAGTAAAACTAAAAACACAGAAATCTATAAAGCTCTACCTGCACAGGTGGGTGCATTCTGGAATGACCATGACGGGTGCTCTTTGGCCCAGAACTTAGTTGGGTCCTGAATTTTCTAAAAATGGTCAACTCGCTTCTGTAAATACATTTTTCATAAATTGTGAAACTAGGTTCTGGTAGCCATCTTGATTTTCACATTCGTACCCTCACTGAATTAACTAAGATGGTAGTTTTAATTCAACTATATTTACTGCCAGTAATGAAATAAATTATAGAAATAAATCATAAAACTATCTGAGCATCATTTCTCTCTTCTTCCTCTCTTCTGCCCAGGCACTGGAGTATCCCATTTCAGCTTGCCTCTAAAAACTGAGCTCCATTCTATGGACTTTCCAGTTTCTGCCCTCTCTTCCTGTAATTCTTTCATCCAATCAGGACTCACTATTTTCTAAGAGGCTAAGTAACTGGTCAGGGAAATTATTTTGTAACAAATCATTCATCAGGGACTGATGTTAGTAGGAAAGAGCTAATCTCCCAATCTTTATTCCTTCTCTTTATTTTACTCTAATGAAACCCACTGTCTTCTAATTACTATAAAAATCATAATGCTCAGTGTCTGAAAAATTAATAAACTATAAATGAAGAAAGGAAGACAATAAAAATCATCCCTAGGGGCACCTGAGTGGCTCAGTCAGTTAAGTGTCTGCCTTCGGCTCACACGATTCCAGGGTCCTGGGATGGAGCCCTCAACAAGTTCCCCTGCTTACCCTCTCCCTCTGTTGCTGCCCCTGCTTGTGCTCCCTGTCAAGTAAATAAATCTTTTTAAAAAAAATCATCCCTAATTCTTCCTTCCAAAAAAATCTAACGCTGTCAACACTTTGCTATATCCTTCCATTGTTTTTACTATATATATGGATGCATATACATGTGTTCTGGGTAGAATTGTGTCCCCCCTGACAGGTACGATCAAGTCCTAACCCCCAGTCCCTGTGAATGAGACTTCATTTGGAAACAGGGTCTCTGAAGCTATAATCAATTTAGGGTGAGATCATGTTGGATTAGTATGGGCCTGAAATCTAATGACTTGTATCCTTACAAGAAGAGCAAAATATGGGGGCACCTGGGTGGCACAGTTGGTTAAGCAGCTGACTCTTGGTTTTGGCTCAGGTCGTGATCTCAGCATCACAAGATCAAGCCCTGTATCAGGCTACACGCTCAACACAAAGTCCGCTTAAGACTCTCTCCTTCTCCCTCTGCCCCTCCCACTGCATGTGCACATGCACTCTCTCCCTCAAATAAATAAATCTTAAAAAAAAAAAAAAAAGAGCAAGATATGGACATAGAAGCACATGGAAGGAGGTAAAGACAGAGGTACAAAATGGGGTTAAACTGCCACAAGCCAAAGAACAGCAAGGACTGCCAACAATCACCAGAAGCTAGAAGAGGCGAAGACGGATTCTTTCCTAGAGACTTCAGAGGGAGAGTGGCCCTGCGGACAACTTGATGTCAGACTTCTTTCCTGTCAGACAATAAATTTCTGTTGTTTTAAGTTACTCTGTTAATGATAATTTCTTACGGCACCTGGGAAATTAATATAACATATTTTATAAAAATAGGATCCTTAAAAAAAAGATCCATTGATAGATACTATTATATGCGGATGATGACTCAATAGTACGTTACTTATGGTTTTCTATGTCACTATTTCACCTTAATCCTTTTAACTGGGGACGCCTGGGTGGCTCCGTTGGTTAAGCGTCTACCTCTGGCTCAGGTCATGATCCTGGGAGCCTGGGACCGAGTCCTACATCGGGCTCCCCACTCGGCAGGGAACCTGCTTATCTCTCTCCCTCTCCCTCTGTGTGTGCTCTCTCTAGCTCTCACTCTCTCTCAAATAAATATATATATTTAAAACAAAAACAAAACAACAAAACAAAAAACAATCCTTTTAACAGGTGCTTTGTTTCTATTAAATAGATATGACTTACTTAGCCAGTATCACTTTGTTAGCTATTATTGGTTATTACCAGTTTCTACTCTTATAAATAATGCTGCAGTCAACATCCTTTAATTATGGTAGCTATTGTCATTACTTCTATTCCTAAAAGTTCAGGCAGGTTATACCAATTTATGCTCCTATCTACAGTATACGAATGTCCTCCTTTCGCATCAACACTTACCTAACACTTTTGAATTTTATATGCTGAAAAAACCATTACCAATTGATGGTATTTTGTTTACCTTGTGAGTAGTGCCTGGGACAATGTAAGACTCAATAAATGATGACTATTCTTTCATTGTATTATTGTAAATACTGAAGCTATCCTTACCCCACCGATCTGAAATGTCCATTTTGATCATATACTAAATTTTTATACATACCAAGTTCTGAACTTTCTCTTTTAATTCTGAATTTGTATCCCTTCCCTCACAATATATGGACATATGACCAAAAGAGACCGCCTACAGTGTTCTTGACTTAAACTATTGGAGTTACTCTAATAGTAAAAATTTTAATTAAAAACAAACAAACAAACAAACAAAGCGGTGTGGATGGGGAAGAATGGGAACAGAGAAGTTTCTAATCATACCCCCAAATCACAGCTACTATTACAACGTAACCTTGGTTTCTTCACATACCAAGAGGCAGCCTCGACCTCTTCTGTCTCCTATGAACAGGAGCTTCTTCTGGATGCTCTGTGGATTCTTTAGTTGGTGCCTCACTGCTGTCAGATGGCCTGTGAACAGCAGTCTGAACAAGGCCTTCCAAAGAAGCACTACCTACAGAAAAGCAGAGTGGGGAAACACAGAACCATTTGAGCAGAGATCACTGAGCCTCAAAATGATGAAAAAAACCGGAATGCTTCCTAAATGATGATTAACTTTGTTAACTCTTTGCCTATAAGAATTGGTCTTAACCCACACTTGTATCACATTTTAAGTTATAATAAATTCAGTACTTGCTACATCAAATCAACCATCAAAGTTTCTTTTTATTATATCACTACATACAAATCCTGATATTTTCGCATCTTAAGACTTATAAGAGGCAGCAGGTAGAGTGAAAGGACCAGTTAGAACTGACTGAGGTTTCAAGCCTGAGTGACCAGGAGAGTGGGGAATTCTATTAACAGAAATCTGTGAGAGGTAAAAACTGATATACTGCTGAAGGTAATGATTGGGAACATGCTGAGTTTAAGTTACCGATAAAACATCCAGGATTACTAGTGGATTAACGAAGACAAAAAGAAGTTCACAGAACCTTCAATACCTGGATGATATGGCCCTGCCTTCAGACTCTTGCTCTAATGAAGAAATGCTCTGACTAAAATGAGGGATCCAAGGACCTTGTGTCCAGTATCCCATTCAAAGGTCTGGAACCAATCATAGCCTAAGACAATTTATGTTGTCTAGGGGTTAAAGACCAAAGAGTCCACGAATGGTATAGAAGTAAGAGTTTAAGTGGCACAATCCTTTATTCCATGAATGCTTCTAGACACCCTTCAGGCTGTCCACAACCTTAGTCCTCACCAGCACTAGGAATCCCATTACTTTAAGCTGACCTTGATTCTGTCCTCAACAGAGCAGTGACTTGGGACTGCTGGGGCCTTGCTTCTCCCTGATCTGTGATATCTGTCATTCCTGAAGTCCTGGAAAGACTTGTAATCCCACACAAAAAAGAGCAACATCTTACCTGGTATATTCTTTGTTTTGGGCTTCTTTTTCTTAGGACGACTAAGTGGAATATCACCTATAAAACAGAAAAAAAACAACAGAAAAGTCTGCCTAAAATCAGTCAAAAGGAACTTTTAGTAGGGAAGACCCTTTCCTCTCTTCCCTAGGTCCAGCCAACTTTAGGTCTTTAGGTCTCTCTTCCCTAGGTCCAGCCTACACATTAGGGGAAGAAGACAAGAAAATGACAAATTCAGGGGGTGCTGGCTGGCCTAGTTGGTAGAGCAAGTGACTCTTGATCTCAGAGTCCAGGGTTCAAGCCCCATATTGGGCATGGAGCCTATTCCAAAAAAAAAAAAAAAAAAAAAAGAAGAAGAAATTGACAGAGTCAAAGAAAGCCTAAAGCAAGGTGCCAGTAGCTCAATGCTGGTCAATAATATTAGAAACTGTGACATTTCTAGTATCAGAAAAGTGGGCTCACAAAATACTCATCTGATCCCCTACACATCCCAGCCCTCTTGCACTTAGATGTGGAGGCCTGTGACTGGTTTGGGCCATATACTGTGAACAGAAGCAATCTGCCAAAACATTGAAAGAGCCAGATTTTTCTTCCTTTGCTGAAGCATGATAAGATGGCAGAAGCACAGAATGAAAGCAGCCTGAATCACCACAGCATTAGTGAAGAGTAGTGAAAGACAGTTGCCCTGGATTGCTGCCACAGTGAACCCTGAATTAAACAGAAATAACCTTGTATGATATTAAGTTGGAGATTTTGAGGCTAATATAGCATAACCCAGTCCATCCTGATTAAGTGAGACAAAAGAAAATGTTGTCTCTATTATAGAACTATAAATTAGCCAGTGGTTATGTTCTAGGTGACTCCATTCAAGAATGAGTCAAATATCAATCCTACAACTAGTGTTATATATCAACCCTCATTTAAAAAAAGGGAGTCATAAGAGATTATTTTGATAAAAGAATATTGCAATATTATAAATTATACCATTCAGATTCAACTTTAAGAAAAACATTAAGGAAAAAAATTAATTTTTGAACTCCAAATTTTAAAAGTTTTACATTAAGAGTGAACTAACTCACCTTGATTAGCACTTTATATGCCACCGACCCAATTTAATTAGGAAAAGACAAAAAAAGAAACTATTAATTAGAAATCTATTATATTGTCAGACTGATAATTGACGTCATTATTAATTTAAAATAAAATAAGCTTTCACACAGCTAGTTTATAAACTAGCTTGTTCTTTATAAGTAAAAAGCTCATAAAGCTACTAACAAAATAATCCTAATATTTTCTGAACTTACATATACACATTTCCTACTGTCTATTCATAAAGTGGATTAAGCAGATTAAGAATTCTTATTTTGTCACTGATTAAAATCAGCTTAAGCTCTGAGGAAACTATTCTAGCAAACAAAAGAGGATCAAAAGTCTGATAAACAAGACATTAAAACACTCAGAATGGATCCATTATCTTACTATGTTGACATTCAGGTTTTGAAACAAAACATTTAATTACAACCATTATCCTAATATTCAAGGATTTTTTTTTTTAACCTTTAAACTTTTAGGAAGACTTTTCAAGAAGTCTTTTCTGAATTATTATAATTTTGCAATACTAGTCAATTTTTTCACTTTATTCATTTTGCATTTTTAAAACTCAATAATAAAATTACTGTAACTTATTTTTACCTTGGCACAGGTGGAAGGGCTCGTGGAGGACGCTACCGGGAGAAGAAAATTATAAGTAAAAGTCTCAGAACATCTTTACTTCATTACATCAAATCTTTTGCTAACCCTGTTCATCAAATGAAACCCAGGAAGTACTTATAAGAATCAGATGGGCAATTCTAAACTTGTCCTACCATTTCTAAATTTCATATAAAATCCCTTCCTACACTCCTTTCTATCCAGAGGCCAGGCTCTGTTCTAAGGACTACAGATACATTAATGAACAAAATAAAGAAATCCCTGCTTTTATGGTACTTCCGTTGTACTGATTAAGTATTAGAAGATATAAACGCGCGCGCGCGCACACACACACACACACACACACAAATGAGGATGTGGAGTGCTTCTTCAGTTTAGGGAAAGTCTCTGAGATATTTGAGCTGAGGCCTGAATAAGAAAGGAGAAGAAAGGAGACAAAGGGGAGCAAATACAAAGCCTTTCAGGAGAGAGAAAAGGTTTCAGATAAAAGGCCAGTAAGGCTGTGGCACAGTTACCAAGGGTAGGCAGGGGCCAGATAAATTAGGCTCTTGAAGACAAAAGGGGAAGATTCCAGATTTTGTTTTAATTCAGTAAGAAGCCAATGAAGGTGTTAAACCACACAGTAACATACTTAAAAAAAAAAAAAAAAAAAAACACTGTGAATACAGCATGAGGAATGCGTTTTAGGGCAGAGAATTTAAAAAAACACACCTTAAAAAGGATACTTTACATGAAAATTTGTGTTTGCAGTTCAGAGAGATTACAGTTGAGAAGCATTCTGAAATCTTTCAAAATAAAATACTAACAGAAATGCCTTGAAATCCGTTTAATGCCTTGAAATCCGTTCCAAGTGTCTCATGCTGCTTGCAGAGGACACGGACTCAAAAGGGTTCCACACGACACTTAACCATTTCAAAAGTCCCGCAAAAATGACGTGTCACCCAGCCACAAGGACAACCTTTGAGCCTTCAAAAGTCGGAAGGCTCACCTGAACCCCAAATCCTAATAATTCAGCTCTAACTAAGGCTCGCTTACCACCTGCTTCTTTCCCATTCCGTCTAAAGCCGGGCTTCCCGGCCCCCGCCGGCCGCCAAGCGCCGGAAGCGCACAGCCCGCCCCCCACGGGCTACTGCCGGGCCGGCCGCGAGCAGGCGCTGTGCGTCATCGGACTGCGCGGCACTGGCGGCGGCGGCGCTCCGCCCCTTCCCTGCAAGAGGCGGGTGAGCGCCCGCGGCGGGAGCTGGTTGCGCGTTTGCGGTCTAGCTCTTCGGGAAAGGGGACGTCGGAGTCGGAGCTGACATGCCCGGGAAGAGAGATTCCAGGGGACGTCGGGGAGCAACCACGGTTCTACCCATGGTTTCCCAAGTGGCTGCAGTGATGGGTTCGAGGGAGGCGGGAAAAGACCATGATGAAAAGCCTCCACTCGGAAACTGCGGTCTCTTGCCTGGGTGGCTAAACACCCCCAGGAGAGTCCGCAGGGCAGGCCTAGCTGGCTGTCCCGGAACACCCGGGGGCGGGGAAGGCGACCAGGAGAGGCGTCGTCATAGCAACACGGACCTCAGGCCCCCGGCAACTTCACGCCCGGGTCCTGGCTTCGGAACGAACTTGAAGCGCCCGCTCGGGTGCAAGCCTGTGAGCACCGACGGGGCGGACGCGCAGACACCACGAGCGGGGCTCTCCCTCTGCGACCCCCAGCCCTGCGCACCGGCCCCGCCCCGCCCCGGGGGCAACTGAGGCGTTAGGGCAGCACCCTCCGCCTCCGCCACTTCCCGTGGCCGAAGCGCCCCTCACCGCTCACCGGGAGGGCCTCCAGCCGAAGCCCCGAGTCCGCCCTCATGGCGCTCTCCCCGCCGGCCTCTGTCAGTGCAACCGCCGGCGCCCCGAGCCTGGCTCCCCGCGCCCCCGCCTCCGGCAGCTGCGAGAGGCGGGGACGTGCCCGCGTCTGGTTAGGCCGCAGCTCGGGGACCAGCTCTCCGCCGGGCCAAGCCCCGCCCTCCGAGGCGTCAGAGTTAGGGAGGCGCCGGGTTAGCCCAGCGGAAGCTTCGTGGAATCGCTCTTTTCCAGCGGTGACGTAATGAATCAGGGAGGCCGTCGAGGGCGGGGAGAGACTAGGTACAGCTAAAATCCAAGCCTGCAGCTGGTACCAAGAACGGATGGTCAGCAAGGCCAGGAATGCCTGGAAGAACCAGGAGCTGATAATCACTAGAACCAGAAGGTCTGGAAGGCTAAAGATCAATTAAACTCCTTTAAAAGGAACGACTTGTGGAGCAAACTGTCAGATTCTCCAGACGCTGACTCTTCTTCTATGCCTGACTGCATTCGAAAGGCAAGCTGCCGGCTAATCTCTACAAGAGACCCTTCCACTGCGTGAACAAAATAAGCCGTAAGCACCCAGCTGACCCCTACCAGACTGAGTTTCACTGACTGACTTGGCGTTTGGTTCTTTTAACTTCTTACCCTGTATCTCGTTTATTGTGTGACTTTGTATTTCTTATGTGGCGTATGTGAAGCCAAGTTAAACGGGTAGTGAAATGTCATTCAATATGGAATCCTACACCAAAATCAAAATTCTGTAAACCTGCTTTCTGAATGAATAAAGCTGACATTGTGGAAAGACGCAACTCATGCACAGCCTTTGTAGCGTGCTAGAGACGCCCCCCAACCCCCAAGCCCAATCTTTCAGGATGGGTATATATTGACACAGACAAATAACAGATTTCTTCCAGTTGTGTGTGTGTCTGCCTGTCTGTGTTGATACAGGCAGTTCTCAAAATTTCGCCAATTGCTTATCCTCCATCTCTGTAAATCAAGCTTGGAAAAGCTTTTTCTTAAAACAACATAAATCAAATCCAAGTTCATGTATTATTAAAAGTGACCTAATTTTCTTTGGTCGGGTTTGGGGGGGTTGGGTTTAAATTTTTTTTTTTTTTATAATCACTTTAAGCAAAAAATAAAAAATATTTTGAAGTATGCACTTAGTTTGTTTTATAGTTAGGAAAGAGATTGGAGGGGTACAGGGATGGTGTGGGTATGGGGAACATTAGAGAATGATGCAGAAGACAGATACAGGGGTAGCAAGATTGACTGGAAGTCTCAAGACCTAGGAAAGAAAAAAAAAGAAAGACTTCCTGGAATAGCATTCTCATCTTATGCTTTTCTCAGATATGAGTCTCTAGGACTAAAGTCAATTGCCCTTTCCTAATTTAGGCATGATGTGGATATTGGCTTTTAGGCAAATTAATGATTGTTACAATTCTGATCAAAAGAATAAATTTTTCCTTGTAGAACTGATGTATAAATGATGACGGCAGTGCCATTTCTATAAATTTTCATGTTAGATGTGAAATGTGTACATTAACTCTTTTTTCTTACCGAGTCAGTCAAGTAGGCACTTTTTGGAAAAGCCATTTTCATAAAACAGAAATTTCATGAGGTTAAATACAGTTTCTGGAATTAAGTACTACTTATTTTATTTAGGGAAACTCTCTTATCTGAATTGTACAAAGACCATACAAAATCTATAAAAGGTTTTCATACTCAGTGGCTTAACATTATTTGAATTCTTATCATTGCTACATATGAGGAAAAGGAAAACATTTTTTTCCCTGAAAGCCAAGAAGGTAACTCTATATGTATACAATGCAATTTTGTTTTTCAAATAAGATTAATTAATAAATTGCACCACGTTTACATCTGCATATGCTATAATGGGGCAAATACTACTGTTTCAGATTGCAGCTGTTACTCCAGAGCTCTGTAGTAGATGAATATTGTTAAAACTCCAGCATTAAGCAGGAGGTCTTCCTTAAGACTCAGTATCCGAGGAAACCCATGTTGCTGGTACCCACTGAGGCTCCTCCTGAGCCTTCTGAATGGCAGACACCAACTGGGCACATGCATCTTGCAAGTGGTCATTCACAATCACGTGATCAAAAAATTGGCCAAACTGTGCTTCCATTTTTTGGGCTAAATCCTCCATCTCTTGTAGATCTTCATCCTTTATGAGAGGTAGAAAAATATGGATAGCACAGACTTAATGAGATAAATAGAAATGATGCACAATTTGTTTTGCTGTTACGTTCAGTTGTGAAGCTATTGATAAAAACACTTAGGTCAAATAAATGTCCTCTATTCTAAACCACAAAATTTATGTTTTCTATCTTTAGCCTTACTTAATGTTTCCCTGGTCAAGGTTTTGCAAAACAAAGAAATGGTAGCCAGAACAATCCCCTCAACTTCCCATTTGGACTTAAATTATCTTATTCTATTATCTAAACACTCGAACTGCTTTCAAACTGTTTAAAACAAAACAAAAAAAGAAAGAAAGAGAAAGAAAAAGGAAAAAAAATTATCAGTTGAACATAAAACTTATACATAAATTTCAAAGATGGACTTTTATAAGGTAAAATAACAGTTCCTGAAATTAAATACTGGTAAGAATGACATTATTTTGCCACTTTCAACATGAGTATGGTATGATCTGTTTCTATTGAATTAGATATACCCTAATTGTCCTTTGCTTCATGATGACATGACCTAATTCACCTTTAATATTTTCTATTTCCACTATTATGAAATGCTCATTTAATGAAGGTCAGCTGACCTTCATTTGGCACTATGCATTAAACTCATTGCTGTTATTTTCTTATTTGTCCACAACAATTAAAATATACAACTTGTTGCCTGTACAATCATAAACACATATACAAATGCAGGCACTGAAATGTTGTGACAGTACTCCTTTATAAGATGACCATACTCGTGACCCAGAAACAATTTTGTTAATTTGTTTAGATCACCATAAAAATGGGAACACAATTGTAAATGCTCGTAATATTCAGAGAATATATCCATGGACTTCACTATCTGAAATGCAAACTAAAGAATCAGACTTTCATAGAGTAATCACAAGAAGTATGAAGATAGAATTAATAACAAGGGATTATATAAATATACCTCTTGCTCACTTCAGCATCAATGTATTAAATTGGAAACAATGCAGATTAACATGGACCCTATGCAAGGAAGACATGCAAATTTTTGATGCATACACATTTGTGATGTTTAATTTCAGTTTTATAAGATGAAAAAGTTCTAGAGATCTGTTTCACAATGTAAACATACTTAACACTACGGAACTGTACAGTTAAAAATGGTTAGGACGGGGGGAGCCTAGGTGGCTCAAGTGATAAGTGTCTACCTTCGGCTTGGGTCATGATCCCAGGGTCCTGGGATCGAGCCCCACATCAGGATCTCTGCTCAGTGGGAAGCCTGCTTCTCCCTCTCCTACTCCCCCTGCTTGTGTTCTCTCTCTCTCTCTGTTAAATAAGTAAAATCTTTTTAAAAAGAATGGTTAGGATGGTAATTTTTGTGTTTTATGTGTTTTTTAACATATACACACACACACACACAAATAAGTGTAGTATCTTGATCTAAGTGATGGTTATCTGGGTGCAGGCACACATAAAAATTCATTCAGCTGTTACACATAAGATTTATACATCTTGCTGAATGTTTATGATGATTTAAAATAGTTAAGGTGGATTTAATTTTTTAAAAATTGGAAACTATTCTAGGAAGAATTCACTGATTAATCCCACCTGTCGTAGGCCCTATATAATTTCCATCATCATTAATACATGTTTGCATTTAGAAATACATTTTATACAGATACCTCACATTACAGATAAGATATATTCACTATAGAATTTTAAAAAAGATCTTATTTATTTGTTTGTTTATTTATTTATTTCTTTATTTGAGCGAGAGTATGCACAAGCAGGGAGAGGGGTAAGCAAATTCCCTGCTCAGCAGGGAATGGGGTGGGGGCTCCATCCTAGGACCCAGATCATGACCTAAGTTGAACACAGACACTTAACCGACTGAGCTACCCAGGCTCCCCCTTCACTTTTTTAAAGTAAATTCTCAAACTTTTTCATACAGTAAATAATAAAACGTAAGTGTCAATCTTATGCACACCCAATTTCCATGCGGTTTTGCAAACTGTGGTTGGAGTTCTTTTTTTCCTTAAGCTAGACAAGAAAAAAGAAAAAAATAAGAGCAGCATCATAGCATTTATTAAACTTTATTTAATATCTGCAAATCATGTCCAGTAAAATGGGTAAATAGTAAGGGCATTTTTAATTAGAAACAAAAATCATACTCCTTAACATAGGGATGTTGTAGAAACAATACAGTGAGTTTTCACTAGGAAAAAAAAAAAATACATTCATCTATTTCTTCTGTATCTTACCTTGAACTTCATGTCCACAAAGTAGTCTGTAATGATCTTGGCATTTTTCCGAGATTGCTTCATACAGCTCATGCTAGATGGCTTTATAAATATGACATAGGGCTTCAGTTCCTGGGTTCGAGCTAATTGAATACCCTATACAGAAAAATTAAGTGCACATTTAAAAATAGAAGTCTTAAATTCTTAGAGTCAACACGAACGTTCTCAAAAGTTCTAAGAACAGAAATCAGCAATTATTTTTAGCTAATTTATTTTTATTTCTTCTCCTTTGCCCCCAAGTCCTCAAATCTAAAAATAAGTATTTTAATAATTAAGAGAGAGGGTTCTAGAATCAAAATTAAGTTTAAACTGGCTCTTCCTCTTACTAGTCATAACACCCTAATGAAATCTGAGAATGGGATTCTATACATAATTTCATGGCACAAAGACAAAGACAAACTCTAAAGGTGGATCAGTTCTGTTTCACTCTCACTTCCCTTTCCTCTTGTTATTATGTTATATCGTATACTACCGACACCTTCACACTGACCACCAGCCTGGACCCAAGGAAGAACAACTGTCTTGTCCCCTGATTGTCTTTAATGCATGTGGTATATTTTTAAATGAGTACAAAAAAACCCCAAAATACAAGGATCAAGAAAATGGAGCCTACACATTATGTACTCTTTTTTTTTTTAAGATTTTATTTATTTATTTGACAGAGATCACAAGTAGGCAGAGAGGCAGGCAGGCAGAGAGAGAGAAAGGGAAGCAGGTTCCCGCTGAGCAGAAAGCCCCATGCGGGGCTTAATCCCAGGACTCTGAGATCATGACCTGAGCCAAAGGCAGAGGCTTTAACTCACTGAGCCACCCAGGCGCCCCCACTGTGTACTCTTTATCTTAACATGCTCGCGTCTGCCCCATCCCACATATGGTCTCATAGAGGTAGCTGTAGACGCAACCACACAGGAACCTCCCCTCCCGGTGTCAGGCAACATCTTTTTCCCCCTGCCAATGTCCTTGATGCCTTTGCGATCAAGGTCAAAGCAGAATTCTAACTTTTTTTATAGCCACCAGCTCAGTTCTCTTTTGGTATGTGAGAAGCAAGACTTCTTTCCTAACTAAAGACAAAATATTGGCAAAATGTTCCCTCACATATAATCCCAGCCCTTAGATATGGTAAGTGGTCTTATCCCTAAAAGACTAACAGAATAAAATGTCTCGACCTCAACCTACAGCATGTGCACAAACGCATGACATTCATTACCTTGGGCAGATGGGAAATGCTCCACCACAGACATACCTGGGGCTCTAAGTCCATGACACAGATCTTTCCCTCATCAAGGACTGTTTGAACAGCATCCACACTGGTGCCATATAGGTGGCCTTTGTACTCACCATGCTCGAGCATCCTGCAAGGGTGCCACAAGGAAAACAAGAACTCTTTCTACCAGTAAAATATTACTAGTAGTAACATAGGATATAAATACGTGGACTTTACTAGCACAAGAAATGAAGAATGAGTGGAAAATCAACAGGAGAAAAAAAAAATATTAGGAGATCTAGGACTTAACT